AAGAAGGAGGTGTGCTCGGTGGCCTTCCTCAAGGCCGTGTTCGCCGAGTTCCTGGCCACCCTCATCTTCGTCTTCTTGGGTCTCGGCTCAGCGCTCAACTGGCCGTCGGCCCTGCCCACCATCCTGCAGATCGCACTGGCCTTCGGGCTGGCCATTGGCACCCTGGCTCAGGCCCTGGGGCCCGTGAGTGGTGGCCACATCAACCCGGCCATCACCCTCGCCCTCTTGGTGGGCAACCAGATCTCGCTGCTCCGTGCCACCTTCTACGTGGTGGCCCAGCTGGTGGGCGCCATCGCAGGGGCCGGCGTCCTCTACTGGCTGGCACCACTCAATGCCCGGGGCAACCTGGCCATCAACGCTGTGAGTGCCGGGACCGGGCGTGGGTTCTGGGCCAGGCCTTCCCCAACTAGAGAATGGGTGGGACGAAGGGGGCCAGGGCACAGCCTGGCGAGAAAGATGAATCTGCTTGTCGCTGGGTGTATTGACCTTAAGCCTCCCTGTGCCTCTCTCTCCTGGTGCCCCCTCCTCCCCTGTCTGCATCCTCTCCTGTCCTGGCTTCTCTGTGCCTCCTTGTACCCACACAGCCCCATATTGTGTTCGTTGGGCACCCTCTGAGTGATAGAGTAGCACTGACTCTTGTGTGCAGCTACCTAGGCTGGAATCTTTACAGACACGGATTACCAATTCGATCTCCCTCAGAGGCCGCAGGTCGCAAGCTGGGTTCCAAGGGCCAATCCAGCGGAGAACCTGTCTGTCTGCACCAGCTGGGCATACCTGCTACTGCAGGTGTCCCGGGACTACATTTAGCACCCTGGTGGGGTGGGGGGTCGTCTCCATTGGTTATTGACTCCCCAAACCCCTGCTCGGCCTCCTTGCTGCCTCCGAAAACCCCAGATTCAGTCCTCCGCTCTGTGCATACCGGGTTCATTAGTGAAACACAGGAGGATTTTCTCGGTCATTGTCAATCTGTGAGCCAGCCACATCACAGAGGCAGGCTGGAGGTTGGCACTGGCAGCGGGGCAGCCAGGGGCGGGAGGCCCCCGTGAGGGTGCAGTAGGCAAATTGGGCCGCTGCCCACAGGGAAGGAGGCTACAGTGCCAGTTGTGGGGCCTGGGGATCAGGCAGAACCTTTGACAGAACTGTGTCCTGGAACTAGCTCCCTCCCCTTACCCCCCCACCCCCGCCACACACACACCACCCTCTGCTTTGGGCTCCAAGCCTGTGCTTTGTGAAAACTGTCAAGTGCTCAGCGCCTTCTGCAAACGGCTACTCTGAGGGGCCCAGCGCAGGGCTGACGCTGTGGGGTTTCCGGGCGTCCAAATTCCAGGTGCTTGGGCTCTGGGTCACCTTAGAGATCAAACTCGTCACCTAGCCCCTGGCCGCTGAGCCTGAAGGAGGCCCAGGGGCTCTGGGGTCCTAACCCACCTCCCCTCCCAGCTCAGCAACAACACGACGCCAGGCAAGGCTGTGGTGGTGGAGATGATTCTGACCTTCCAGCTGGCACTGTGCATCTTCTCCTCCACCGACGCCCGCCGCACCAGCCCTGTGGGGTCCCCAGCCCTGTCCATTGGCCTGTCCGTCACACTGGGCCACCTCATCGGGGTGAGCGGTTTATACCCCAGAAGGGCCTGGGGGAGACACTCGGGGCAAAGAGAGAGGACCCTAGCACAGCCCATGGGCCAGTGAGCACGGGAGATTTTTAAGGCTTAGGCTTGAGACCACTGGCCTCGGACCCCACTGGGCCAGGTTTGAGCCCACAAACAGAAACAAACCCTCCTTGGCTTAGGAGAGAGGTTGGGGGTGGGGTGGGAGTCAGAGCCAGGAGGAGAGGGGATTGGGTGGGGTTCACAGTTAACAAGACAGTTGGGAAGCCGTGGAGAAAGTAGTCCCCAGCCTAGGAAACAGGAGACTTGAGTGTGAGCCCTGGCTGAGCAGGGAGCTGCCCTATGACCTTGGGAGGGTCCTTCTGGGGCCAGGTGAGTGGATGAGGACCTGCCCCCTCCCCACCTCCCTTCCGTCCAGATCTACTTCACCGGCTGCTCCATGAACCCTGCCCGCTCCTTTGGACCTGCGGTTGTCATGAAACGCTTCAGCCCTTCGCACTGGGTGAGCCTGTCCCCACCACCCCCAGTGAGGGCGTGTGGGAGCCGGGGAGTGGGGTGCAGGGAGCAGTGATTGGAGAGGTCAGGGGCCTCGGGGGAGGCTCTGTGTGTGTGTCATCCCTCTGGGGCCGAGAGTTCAGGCCTCTGTGTCAGACTCTGAGGTTTCTGTGAGTTCCTCTGGAGTCTATCTGTGCACCCTGGTGCCGTCTGTCTTGGTCCCTGTCGGGGGAATTGGAGGAGGCTTCCTATGTGTGTGTCCCTCGGGATACCCTGTCATCTCCTTGGAGAGCTGCATCCTTTCTCTCCGTAGTCCCTGCCTGCCTGTCTCTCTGAGGAACTCTCGGGTGGGGGTGGGGGTGGGGGGCGGTGCTTGGAGGGGCTTCTGGCTGCCTGCCTCCTCAGGATTCCTGGCTCCTGGTGGTCCACATCTCTGTCAGGCTGGGGAGAGTGGTGGGGTGGGCATCAGCATATCTATCCTGAGGGGAGGGAGGTCTTTCTCTCTGGAGGTCTGTCTCCTCTGACAGGTCGTGGGCCTGGTCTCTGCTGTCAGGGGCCTGACCACAGCCTTGTCTCCCCCAGGTGTTCTGGGTGGGGCCCATTGTGGGGGCCATCCTGGCTGCTATCCTCTACTTCTACATACTCTTCCCCTACCCCCTGAGCCTGAGCGAACGCGTGGCCATGGTCAAGGGCACCTACCAGCCGGACGAGGACTGGGAGGAGCAGCGGGAGGAGCGGAAGAAGACCATGGAGCTGACGGCCCACTGACCAGTGTCAGACAGGCCAGCCCCTCGGCCCCTCAACTACAGGGGAAGAAAAGAGAAAAAAACAAAAACACCTCTGCCAACAAGGCTTCCTCCCCACCCGGGGCCAGGTCCGCATAGCTGGGGAAGAGCCGCTGGCTCCCCAGGCTGCACAGTTGGAGTGGGGAGCAGAATCCCATGGTAGGGCTCCTAGGGGAAGGGGCCTCTCTGGAGCCCAACAGATCGGATTGCTGTGAGGTCAACCCTCAGAGATGGTAACTGCATCCAGGAGCTCCCAGGCTGTCCCAAGGCTGGGCAAGGGAAAGGGGCAGGGGGCAAGGGCTACAGTCTGTTCTCCCCACCTCCCCAGCTCCAGAGAGATGACAGCCCTGGTGACAGCAGAGGCCAGCAGGCCTCCGCTACAGCTCCTAAGCCTCGCTTAACGGCACCTTATTTATTTCGGGTCAAAGTTGAGTGGGGCAGGGGCTGCTGGTGTTGGATGGAGGGGCTGGGGGTGGGGGGCAATAAATCACTGATATTCTCGTTCTGCTTTTATCTCGCCCCACCCTGGCCCATCACATCTCCTCTTCATCACCCCCACCCCCCACCCTGCCCCAGTTTCCACAGGGCACAGGGAACCCCAGGACAAGTGGGAAGACTGAGCAGGGAGGCCTAGAGAGTCAGAGGGGCAGAGAGGACAATGGGAACAGAGGAGGGGACTCCCCAGCCTTGTCTCCCACCCCTCCCACCTCAGCTATGTCAAGTCTCTGCCACTTGGGAGCCTGGCACCAGCACCACCAGGGTATGCCAGGCAGAGGAGACATGGAGACGTGGACCATTGATATGCCAGGAGCATGATCCGTCAGGCTGTGT